TTGTCACCAATAAATGATTTAGTCACTAAATATTTTAGGGGAAAATAAAAATGTTTTGTTACAATCGGTTCCTTTGTTTAGAATCAGTTAGTATTCAGATCTGAACAATGAGGAAGAACTTTTTGTAATTGCTGTGAACAATCATTTCATTTTTACTCCAGTAGGAAACTGTTCATTAAAATAAAATGGAAATAAGGAAGGTAGTGGTGTTTGCTTCTAATACAACCGGTTGAGCCATGCCTTATTTAATTAGCAATGCTAGAGTTGTTATGATTTTCAACACCCAAATTTTCAGTTTAGTTTAATTATATTTCAAAGCTTGATAGGCATAAGTAATATGAACTAGTAGGTGTTTGAATTGTGACATGAGTGCCCCATTTATAATACATATTTTAGAATAATTTGGTTTAGTAGTTTAGACTTTATGTCCGATGTGATGTGCCCATTGTAGTAAGACTTGTCTTATGCTGAAAAATGTATATATCACAGTTGGTTGCTGTTACGTCTAATTGTGTACGTGAACAAAATTTTTATTTTTTCTCTTTTAGGTTGCATATTAACATGTTTAGTGAATAGTTATCTTAACCTTTTGTTGTTGTTTTTTTTATTTTTTATTTTTTAAATGGCAAATTGGAGATGAACGAATTTGGTAGCTTGCATAGCAAGAGTTTTTTGTTGATATTACCAGACACATCCATCACAGTGTAGTTGTACTTTTTGTTGATATTACCAAACATGTATTTTGACTATGTTGTTGTGGGCTATGATTATATTGTGATGGATCTTATCTTTTTGTTGATATTTTATTGAATAGATTAAAATGAACAGGTTTTTGTTGATATTACCTAATGAACAGGTTTTTGTAATGATTTGTAATGGATATTATATTCAGCAGGTTATTAAAATGCACAAGTTATTTTGATTGTGTTGTAGTTTTTGATTTTACTAAAATAGATGTTATAATTTGGATGTTATATATTAATTTCTTGATACTATGAGACATGTATTTTGCTTGGGTTGTTTCATGATAATGAACTAGTTAATTTTATATTGATTTGTATTAAATATTTTATTTAATAGATTATTAAAATGTACAGGTATTGTTTATTGAAAAAATTATATAAATTGCAAATATAACCTTCCCCTCAATTTTTAAAAATTATTTATTATTGGTGACGAAAAAAATTGACACTAAAACTTTCTAATCTCAACAAATAATTTTGTCACACATATTCACTATTTCATCACTAAATTAAAATGTTTCTTGACAAAAAGTTTTCGTCACTGAAGGGTCTTTTTTTTCATCTTTTGGTGACGATATTTTCGTTACTAAAAACTTTATCACTATTTTTAATGACGAAATATTTTGTCATCCAAAATAAATATAATAAAATTTTATTTAATTTTGGTGACGAAATGGATATTATAGATGACAAAATATTTAACATTTAGTGACGAAATATTTCGTCACCAAATATCAATAATAGGTGACAAAATAAATTTTCGTCATCAGGTACTTTTAGTGACGACGAATTGATGACGAACGTGGTGACGAAATTATTTCGTCACAGATCAATTTGGTGACGAAAATTTTACTATTTGAGACGAAGTGATTTTGTCATTAAAAAACCATTTTGTTGTAGTGAGAGGTTGGGGATAAAGGGGTTTGAGATACCCTCTTTCTATCAGGACTTTTAGTACACTAGTTAGGCTCATAT